AAATGCAGGACAAATCCAACCCAGCCAATTACCGCCCCATCAGTCTACTCTCAATCATCAGTAACGTGGTGAAAGTTGCCATCAACAGTGCTACCAAGCAGCACCTGCTCAGCAGTAACTTGCTCAGTGACGCTCAGTTTGGGTTCTGCCAGGCCCATGCAACTCCTGACCTCATTACTGACTTGGTTCTGAAGGGTAACTGGATCTGAAACAGTAACTCTGCTTTGCCTCCATAGATGCTGCCAGACCCACTGAGTCTTTCCAGCAATTTCTGTTTTTGTACTTGTATCCCTGTGTATTGGTCCACAAGTTAAAGTTCTAAATTGGGGCAAGGTTAATTTTGATGGTACTAGACAGGAAATTTCAAAAGTCGATTGGGGTAGGTGGGTTTGCAAGTCAATGGACATCTGGAGGCTTTCAAAAGTAAGTTAATGGGTTCAAGGCCAGCGTGTTCCTGTTAGTGTGAAGGACAAGGCTGGCAGGAGTAGAAACGCTGGATGACAAGAGACCTTAAGGCTCTAGTCATGAAAAAAGAGACATATGTCAGGTATAGGCAGCTGGGATCAAGTGAATCCCTTGAGAAGTGTTGGGGTTGAAGGAGTACACTTAAGAAGGAAATAAGGAGGGCAAAAGGGGACATGAGATAGCTTAGGCAGATATGGTTTAAAAAGATTCTACAAGTATATTAAGGACAGAAGTGTAACTATGGAGTGAATAGGGCCCCTAAAAGAGCAACAAGGCCTTCTATGTGTGGAACCAATGGAGATGGATGAGATCCTAAATGGACATTTCTCATCAGTATCCACAGTGGAGAAAGACATGGAAGCTAGGGAAATCAAGGAAGTAAACAGTTATGTCTTGAAAAGAGGAGGTGCTGGAGGTCTTAAAATGCATAAATACCTGGGACCTGATCAAGTATATCTTGGGACATTGAGGGAAGCTCAGGAAGAAATTGAGGGGCCCCCACCGGAGATATTTGTATCATTGACAGCCATGGGTGGGGTGCCGGAAGACTGGAAAGTGGCTAGTATTGTGCCATTATTTAGGAAAGGCTGTAATAAAAAGCCAGAGAACTACAGACATGTGAATGTAAGATGGGTAAGTTGTCAAAGAGGATTCTGTGAGACAGGATGTGGGAAAATCAAGGACTGATTTGGAATAGTCAGCATGGCTTTTATGCATGGGCAATTGTATCTTACAAACTTGATTGATTGAGTTTTTTTGAAGAGGTGACCAAGATGTTGGATGAAGACAGAGTGGTAGACATTGTCTGCATGGACTTTAGCAAAACCTTCAACAAGATATCACATGATAGACTAATTAGTAAGATTTGATCACATGGGATCCAGGGAGAGCTAGCCAATTGGAAACAAAATTAGCTTGAATGTAGGAGAATGGGGGGTGGTGGTAGAGGCCTATTTTTCAGATTGGAGGCCTGTGATCAGCAGTGTGTTGTATAGATCAGTATTGGGTTCATTGTTGTTTGTCATTCCTATTAATGATTTTGTTAAGAATGTAGGAGCCATGGTTAGTAAGTTTGTGGATGACACTACAATTGGTGGTATATTGGACAGTGAAGGTGGTTATCTAAAAGTACAATGGTATGTTGATCAACTGGTAGATGGAGTTTAATTTGAATAAGTGTGAGGTATTGCATTTTGGTCAGATAAACCAGAGCAGGATTTATACAGTTAATGGTAGGGCCCTGTGGACCATTGTCAATCAAAGAGTCCTAGTAGTACAGTTACATAGTTCCTTGCAAGTAGTGTCAAGGGTAGATAGGGTAGTGAAGAAGGCATTTGGTGTGCTTCCCTTGATCAATCAGAGCATCGAATACAGGAGTTGGAATGTTATGTTAGAGGTGTACAAGACAGTGGTAAGGCTCTATCAGGAGTACTGCATACAGTTCTGGTCACTCTGCTATAGGAAAGATGTCTTTAAATTGGAAAGGGTGCATAAAAGATTTACAAGGGTGTTACTGAGACTGGAGGGTTTGAGTTATGAGGAGAGGCTGGAAAGGCTGAGACACGTTTCCCTGGAGCATCAGACACTGAGGAGTAACCTTTTATTGAGGTTTATAAAATCATGAGGGGTATAGATAAGGTGAATAGCCAAGGTCTTTTTCCTAGTGTAGGGTAGTCCAAAACTAGAGGGTATAGATTTAAGGTGAGAGGGGAAAGACTTAAAGGGACCTGAGGGGCAACCTCTTTTACACATGAGGGTAATGTCTCAATGGACCTAGCTGCCAGAGGAAGTGGGAAAGGTGGGTACAAGGAAAACATTTGAAAGACGTTTGGACAGATGCGTGGATAGGGAAGGCTTAGAGAGATATGGGCCAAACCAGGCAAATGGGACCAGTTCAGTTTAGGAAACCTGGTCAACATGTACGATTTGGAACAAAGGTCCTGTTTTCATACTGAATGACTCTATATCACTTGATAGCATTAGAATCCATTAATGTATTATGCCTTGAATTTATGTCTTCAACATGCTTATGAATTAAACTTCCACAGCGCTCTGGGGTGAAGAACATAGAACATTACAGCGCAGTACAGGCCCTTCGGCCCTCGATGTTGCGCCGACCTGTGAAACCAATCTGAAGCCCATCTAACCTAAACTATTCCATTATCATCCATATGTTTATCCAATGACCATTTAAATGCCCTTAAAGTTGGCGAGTCAACTATTTTTGCAGGCAAGGCATTCCACGCCCTTACTACTCTCTGAGTAAAGAACCTACCTCTGACATCTGTCCTATATCTATCACCCCTCAATTTAAAGCTATGTCCCCTCGTGCTAGCCATCACCATCCGAGGAAAAAGGCTCCCACTGTCCACCCTATCTAATCCTCTGATCATCTTGTATGTCTCTATCAAGTCACCTCTTAACCTTCTTCTCTCTAACGAAAACAGCCTCAAGACCCTCAGCCTTTCCTCATAAGACCTTTCCTCCATACCAGGCAACATCCTGGTAAATCTCCTCTGCACCCTTTCCAATGCTTCCACATCCTTCCTATAATGCGGTGACCAGAACTGTACGCAATACTCCAAGTGCGGCCGCACCAGAGTTTTGTACAGCTGCAACATGACCTCATGGCTCCGAAACTCAATCCCTCTACCAATAAAACCTAACGTACTGTACGCCTTCTTAACAACGCTATCAACCTGGGTGGCAACTTTCAGTGATCTATGCACATGGACACTGAGATCTTTCTGCGCATCCACACTACCAAGAATCTTACCATTAGCCCAGTACTCTGTACTCCTGTTACTCCTTCCAAAGTGAATCACCTCACACTTTTCTGCATTAAACTCCATTTGCCACCTCTCAGCCCAGCTCTGCAGCTTATCTATGTCCCTCTGTAACCTGCAACATCCTTCCACACTATCCACATCTCCACCAACTTTGGTGTTATCCACAAATTTACCAACCCATCCTTCTACGCCCTCATCCAGGTCATTTATAAAAATGACAAACAGCAGTGGCCCCAAAACAGATCCTTGAGGTACACCACTAGTAACTGAACTCCAGGATGAACATTTCCCATCAACCACCACCCTCTGTCTTCTTACAGCTAGCCAATTTCTGATCCAAACCGCTAAATCACCCTCAATCCCATGCCTCCGTATTTTCTGCAATAGCCTACCATGAGGAACCTTATCAAACGCTTTACTGAAATCCATATACACCACATCAAACGCTTTACCCTCATCCACCTGTTTGGTCACCTTCTCGAAGAACTCAATAAGGTTTGTGAGGCATGACCTACCCTTCACAAAACCGTGTTGACTATCCCTAATCAAATTATTCCTTTCTCGATGATTATAAATCCTATCTCTTATAATCCTTTCCAACACTTTACCCACAACCAAAGTAAGGCTCACTGGTCTATAATTACCAGGGTTGTCTCTACTCCCCTTCTTGAACAAGGGGACAACATTTGCTAGTCTCCAGTCTTCTGGCACTATTCCTGAAGACAATGATGACATAAAGATCAAGGCCAAAGGCTCTGCAATCTCCTTTCTAGCTTCCCAGAGAATCCTAGGATAAATCCCATCCGGCCCAGGGGACTTATCTATTTTCACACCTTCCAGAATTGCTAACACCTCCTCCTTATGAACCTCAATCCCGTCTAGTCTAATAGACTGTATCTCAGTATTCTCCTCGACTACATTGTCTTTTTCCTGTGTGAATACTGACGAAAAATATTCATTTAGCACCTCTCCTATCTCTTCGGACTCCACGCACAACTTCCCACTACTGTCCTTGACCGGCCCCAATCTTACTCTCGTCATTCTTTTATTCCTGACATACCTATAGAAAGCTTTAGGGTTTTCCTTGATCCTACCTGCTAAAGACTTCTCATGTCCCCTCCTGGCTCTTCTTAGCTCTCTCTTTAGGTCCTTCCTGGCTAACTTGTAACTCTCAAGCGCCCTCACTGAGCCTTCACGCCTCATCTCTACATAAGCCTCCTTCTTCCTCTTGACAAGAGATTCAACTTCTTTAGTAAACCACGGTTCCCTCGCTCGACCACTTCCTCCCTGCCTGACAGGTACATACTTCTCAAGGACACGCAGTAGCTGTTCCTTGAACAAGCTCCACATTTCAATTGTGCCCAGCCCCTGCAGTTTCCTTCTCCATCCTATGCATCCTAAATCTTGCCTCATCGCCTCATAATTGCCTTTCCCCCAGCTATAACTCTTGCCCTGCAGTATATACCTATCCCTTTCCATCGCTAAAGTAAACGTAACCGAATTGTGGTCACTATCACCACACCAAAGAAGTTCATCCTCTGAATGAATAAATTCTGTGTCAGCTGATTGACGGGACGATGAGTGGGCGGGGTCACCTGAAAAGATTGACTGTGGTGGGCGGGCTCTTCGTTGTGTGATTGACAGATCAGCGGATGGGGACGTCGCGGGGTGATTGACATGGCAATGGGCGGGACCAATCTGTGGCGTTGCGTGGTGGTTGGTGATCGAGCGCATTGCTCCCGGAAACAGTTTTATACTTCCGGTTAGATTTGCATGTTCTTGAGGGAGCGCTTCAGAGGGTGGAGCCATGAGCTGGATCTGTATCGCGGTCAAGGGATACCGTCTGTCGGTGAGCGTGCCCGGGGAGCGGGCAGCGGGGCGCGGGGCGCGGCGAGCGGCCCGCCGGTGAGCGTGCCCGAGGAGCGGGGCACGGCCCGTCGGTGAGCGTGCCCGGGGAGCGGGGCACGGCCCACGGCCCACGGCCCACGGCCCATTCTGAAAGAGGTGTTAAGAGGAAAACCCAACAGAAATTGTAGGTTTGGCAGCAACAATGGCGAGAAAATAGTTAATATTTTGGGTCCAGTGACTGTTCTTCAGAACGGTTTTTGCTCCTGATTTCCAACTTGCACAGTGCAGTGCTGTAGTTCACTCGAGTGTTTCTAGCTTTTTTTTAAAATTCACTCGTGGGACGTCGGCGTCCCTAACAGATCAGTATGTAGTGTCCGTCTTTAGTTGCCCTCGAGAAGGTGGTGATGTGCTCTATGTCTCTTAAACCGCTGCAGTCCTTGTGTTGTATGTAGACTACAATGATCAAAGGGAGGGAATTCCAGGATATAGCAATAGTTACAGAATGAGGCTTCGCAAATGGGTTAGGTTTTTCTGAAGAAGGGTCTAGGCCCGAAACGTCAGCTTTCCTGCTCCTCGGCCTGCTGTGTTCGTCCAGCTCTACACCTTCTTAGTTACAGAATGATTCTTTTTTTTTCCCCCAAGTCAGCATGGTGCGTGGCTTGGAGGGAAACAAGTAGGGGGTGGTCTTCCCATGTATCTGCTGCCCCTGTTGTTCTAGAGATGTTTGGAATGTGCTGTCTAAGGATCTTTGGTGAATTTCTGCAGTGCATCTCCCAGAGAATGCGCACTGTTGCTACTTGGTGGCGGAGAGTTTGGTTGCACCTATCCAGGCAAGTGGGGGGTATTCCATCACATTCGAGCATGGTGGCTCAGTGGTTAGCACTGCTGCCTCACAGTGCCGGGGACCCAGGTTCAATTCTACCCTCGAGCGACTGTCTGTGTGGAGTTTGCACGTTCTCCCTGTGTCTGCGTGGGTTTCCTCCCACAGTCCAAAGATGTGCAGGCTAGGTGGATTGGCTATGCTAAATTGTCCACAGTGTTCATTCGGGGATTTGTAGCTTAGGTGGGTTGCTTCAAGGGTCGGTGTGGACTTGTTGGGCCAAAGGGCCTGTTTCCACACTGTAGGGATTCTATGTTTTTCCTGACTTGTACCTTTTGAGGAGTCAGGAGATGTCTTACTCGCTGCAGTATTTCTAGCTTCTTACCTGTTCTTGTAGCCAATGTATTTACATGGTGATTCCAATAGAGTTTCTGGTCAATTGTAACCCCTGCAAGCCCCCAAATAAGGATTTGATAGTGGGGAATTCATTGATGGTAATACCACTGAATGTCCAAGAGGTGGTTAGATTGTCTCTAATAAGAGACAGTCATCACTTGGCATTTGTGGTGCCTGCTATAGGAATGATGTTGAACTTGGAAAGGGATCAGAAAAGATTTACGAGGATGTTATCAGGTTTTGAGGGTTTGAACTATAGCGAGAGACTGAATAGGCTGGGGCTTTATTTCCCTGGAGCATCAGGCTGAGGGATTACCTTATAGACACTTTTAAAATCATGAAGGCTATCGATAGGGTGAATAGCCAAGATCTTTTTACCGGGATAGAGGAGATTTAACTGGAGGGCATAGGTTTCAGGTGAGAGGGCAAAGATTTAAACGGGACCTGAGGGAGAAATTTTTCATGTAGGGGGTGGTGTGTGTATGGAATGTGTTACGATAGGAGGTGGTAGAGGTTGGTACAATTACAAAATTTAAAAGGCACTTTGATGGGTGTATGAATAGGAAGGGTTTAGAGGGATGTTAGCCAAATACTGACAAATGGGACCATATCAGCTTAGGATGGCTGGGTGGTGTGGATGAGTTGGAATGAATGGTCTTTTTCTGTGCTGTTTGACTGTAATTCTATGTCATTTGCCACTTGTCAGCCCAAGACTGAATATTGTCCAGATCTTGTTGCATTTGAACATGGACTGCTTCAGTATCTGAGGACTTGTGAATGGTGCTAAACATTGTGCAATCATTGGTCAACATCCCCATTTTTTCCTTGTGATGGAGGGAAGGTCTGCGAAGCAGCTGAAGAAGGTTGAGCCCAGACACTACCCTGAGGAACTGCTGCTGAGATGACAGACCTCCAACAGCTAAAATCATCTTCCTACACGCCAGATAAAAATCAAAAAAACTGCGGATGCTGTAAATCAGGGAAAAAAACAGAAGTTGCTGGAAAAGCCCAGCAGGTCTAGCAGCATCTGTGAAGGAAAAAAACAGGAGTTAACATTTTGGGTCCATCGCGTTCTCTCAGTTCCTTCATCTCTGTTGCATGTGTTCAGATGAGGTCAACTTTGACAAGGGAGCCTCCAAAATGTCCACCTTCTTCCTCAACTGAGGATTCCCCACTCTGTTGTTGACAGGGCACTCAACCAGGTCCGACCGATCTCCCACACGTCTGCCCTCGCCCTTTCTCCTCCCTCCCGCAACAGCGATAGGATTCCCCTTATCCTTACCTATCACCCCACCAGCATCCACGTCCAGAAGATCATCAGACACCCTTTCTGCCACCAGCAGACACACAATCCCCTCCCCTCCCCTCCCTTTGCCTGCCTTCCGCAGGGGCCGTTCCGTCAGGAACACCCTGGTCTACACGCCCTTCACCCCAAAAACACAAACACACACACACACACACACACACACACACACACACAACAGACCTATGGCACCTTCCCCTGTAACCGGCGAAGATGCAACACCTGCCCATTTACCTCCTCCCTCCCCAGTATCCAAGGGCCCAAACATACCTTCCAGGCGAAGCAACACTTCACCTGCACTTCCCAGAATCTAGTCTACTGTATTCACTGCTCACGATGCGGTCTCCTGTATATTGGGGAAACGAAGCGTAGATCGGGTGACCATTTTGCAGAATGTGTACGTTCTGTTCGCAAAAAAGACCCTGAACTATCTGTTGCCTGCCACTTCAACGCACTACCCTGCTCCTTGGCCAACATCTGTCGCTGGCTTGCTGCAGCGTTCCAGCAAAGCCCAAGCAAGCTGGAGGAATACCACCTCATTTTCCGCTTGGGGACCCTACAGCCCTCAGGACTCCATATTGAGTTCAATAATTTTAGGGCCTAAACTCTCCCATGTCCCAGCCCCCTACCCCACACACCAGGCCTTGTTACCACATAGCCTGCCATTACACACCCCCTGTTGTTAGTCACTAATAGTCCCCATTAACAGCTATTCACCCTCCCAGCCTGATTGTTATCAACTCCTTTGTCTGCCCAACTGTCTTTCTCTCTTTGGGTTCTTATCCTATTGTTTACTCTCTACCCCACCCACCTCCCTATTTTCTGCATATAAACTGACACTTTCCCAGCCACCATCAGTTCTGAGGAAGGGTCACCGGACCCGAAACATTAACTCTGTTTTTGCCTTCACAGATGCTGCCAGACCTGCTGGGCTTTTCCAGCAACTTCTGTTTTTGTTCCTAAATGCCAGGTTTGACTCCAGCCAGCGGAGAGTTGACCCCTGATACCCACTGATTCCAGTTTTGCTAAGGCTCCTTGATCCCACATTCTGTCAAATGTGACCTTGATGTCACTCTCATCTCACCTCTAGTATTCAGCACTTTTACATAAAAACATAAGAACTTTTGTTCGTGTTTGAACCGAGTCTGTAATGCAGTGAGGCAATGAGTGGCCTTAGCGGAACCTTGACTGTGCCTCACTGTGCAGTTTGCTTTACTGCTGCTTAAATTTGACCAAGTAAATCCAACAGATTGAACTGACAAGGATACCCGCTGAAGAAAATTTGTGAAGCTGTCATTATTGGTAATCACTCATTTCTGAATATGGTTGTCCACCTTGGAAATTCCAAGTCACTAGTCATGGATTATGTTGGTTCTTGTGTGTCTCATGAGCTCAGTCTGAGAATCAGGTCTCTTGGCCAGTATTTCTGGGAGATGGAATTGGTCCTTGGTCTTGATTGTTGGTGTTCCTTTTTCGGGTTCCTTTTCTGCACTGCCTATTGTCAACAGGTGTTCTCAAAAATTGTGTTCCTTAAGACAGGAGGTTTCTCCAAATCAGTTTCTTCTGAGTGAGGGTCTCCCACACATTTTTTGTCTCTATTCATTTGTGGGATGTGGGCATCGCTGGCTGGGCCAGCGTTTTTTGCCCATTCTTAGTTGCCCCTGAGAAGGTGGTGGTGAGCTGTTTTCTTGAACTGCTGCAGTCCTCCTGCTGTGGGTTGACCCATAATGCTGAGGGAGGGAATTCCAGGATTTTGACCCAGCAACAGTGAAGGAACGGTGATATATTCCCAAGTCGGGATGGTGAGTTGCTTGGAGGGGAACTTGCAGGTGGTGGTGTTCCCATATGTTTGATGCCCTTGTCCTTCGAGATGGAAGTGGTTTTGAGTTTGGAAGGTGCTGTCTCAGGATCTTTGAATTTCTGCAGTGCATCTTGTAAATAGTACACACTGCTGCTACTGAGCGTCGGTGGTGGAGGGAGTGGATGCTTGTGGATGTAGTGCTAATCAAGCGGGCTGCTTTGTCCTGGATGCTGCCAAGCTTCTTGTGTTGTTGGGGCTGCACCCATCCAGGCAAGTGGGGAGTATTCCATCACACTCCTGACTTGTCTTGTAGATGGTGGACAGGCTTTGAGGAGTCAGGAGGTGAGTTATTCACTGCAGTATTCCTAGCTTCTGACCTGCTTTTGTAGCCACTGTGTTTATATGGTGAGTCCAATTGAGTTTCTGGTCAATGATAACCTCCAGGATGCTGATAGTAGGGGATTCAGTGATGGTAACACCATTGAATGTTAAGGGACTGTGGTTAGATTGTCTCTTATTGGGGATGGTCATAGCCTGGCATTTGTGTGGCGTGGATGTCACTTGCCACTTGCCAGCCCAAACCTGCATATTGTCCAGATGTTGTTGCATTTTAACATGGACTGCTTCAGTATCTGTGGAATTGCAAATGGTGCTGAACATTGTGCAATCATCGGCGAACGTCCCCACTACTGACCTTGTGATGGAGGGAAGGTCATTGATTAAGCAGCTGAAGATGGTTGGGCCAAGGACACTACCCTGAGTTATACATTGACATGTATGTTGCATTTCTTGAGGGATGCCTTCAGGAAGTGTTTGAAGTGTTTTCTTGTTGGTCCTCTTGATTAAGTGCCTTTCTTTAGCTGGGCGAAGATGATTTACTTTGGCAATTAAAACTTGAGTATCCAAAGGACATGGCTGGACCAGTGAAGTCCATTTTAGACTATCGTGACCTTGATGCTGGTGCTATTGGCTCCTTCAGGAACACTGACGTTGGTACACTTGTCTTCCCAGCTGAAGTGGAGAATCCATTTCAAATAGTGTTGATGGTACTTGCCAGGTCCTTGACGTGGCACCTATACATTGTTCAAGTTTTGGACTCTCGGAGAAGTCGGAAGGATGACTGCCTTGTACAAAAGAATCTTGATATCATTACGGATATCCAAAGGTGGTGCTCACAAGCGATGTTAGATTTCTGCATTGATGTCAGGCTTTGAGAGATGGATCGCCAGTAGGAGAATTTCTCCTTTGATCTTAATGATGCTGTACTTAACTTTTCTAAGGAAAGTGGTCAGGCTAAAAAGCCCCTTCTCAGAGAGGAATTTTTCCTGCAATTTTCTTCCATTAATAGAATTCCCAACTTGTTATCACGTATGTAGCTTGAGTATTGTTATGAAGTTTAACAATGAAATTTTGTTCAGTTTTGTTTTCTGCTCCATTTCTAGTCTTCCTTTGTGTTAACATCAAGATGGACAAGAATAAGACCTACTTGGAAATTGGAATACAGCACAAAGTCTGAGAAACCTGAGCAACCTATTGGACGATATCCTGTCCCATATAAAAAGGATCTGCCATATGACATTGTTGAACTGATGGAGGAGGTAGAAACTAAGGTAGATTGTTGGGATGCTGTGTATTGATGCTGTGTAAAACATCTGAATTTTGGATTACATTTAAGTTAATTATCTAGCCTCTTCAACTGTGGTTAAATAATTCATTTTAACACTTGGCAGTGAAAACTGCATTTTGATGATATCCTAATTACAAGTTCTAATCTCCAACGGCAGTATAGAATTGGGGCGACATGATGGCTCAGTGGTTCGCATTGCTGCCTCACAGTGCCAGGGACCCGGGTTTAATTCCAGCCTCTGGCGACTGTCTGTGTGGAGTTTGCACATTCTCCCCTAGTCTGCGTGGGTTTGCTCCGGTTTCCTTCCACAGTCCAGAGATGTGCTGGTGAGGTGGATTGGCCATGCTAAATTGCCTACGGTGTTTAGGGTGGGAAATGCAGGTGTGGGTCTGGGTGGGATGCTCTTTCAAGTGTCTGTGAACTCGAAGGGTCGAATCGCCTGCTTCCACATCATTGGGATTTTATTTTATTCTATTCTATGAAAAGTACAGTTATTAAATTGCACAAACTGACTGTAGGTTTGTGTGTTCTGTTCTGCATCACTCTTAATATCAGTTAGAACATCAATACAGACCATTTGGTCCAATTGCTGGTCTCTTTTTACCCTCCACGCAAGCAAATTATTTTAATGACAATTAGGTGCCCTGATTCCATATCCCTTCTTTATCCTTATCCTTAATCTTTTTGAATCTAATCTTGAATATTGACATTTTGTCAGTCACTAACCCTCAATGAAATGAATTTGAGTGTTTTCTTGTAAAGATTTCATCTGCAGCCTGTTCTAAATCTTCTAAATGTAATCCTCCCTATGATCCCCATTTCTAGGTGCTCAACTGCTGAAAATAGTCTGCCTCTACCAACAGTGTCTCAACCTTTCAGCATTTTAAGCATATATCATCCTGTAATACATGTTGTTGTCTTAATGAAGGAACACCTGGGTTTTGTATTTTTTTTTTTTGCATATTTTTGTTTTCTTATACAGGGCACTATCCCAGCAAATACAAGAACAGGAGTCAGCCATTCAGCCCCTCAAGCCCTTTCCACCATTCAGTAAGGGCATAACTGATCTATAGCCTAACTGTCTTTGCCATTGGCCCGTAATCCGTTTAATAGCTTTTGCTTAACCAAAAATGTGTCGATCTCCAATTTAAAGTTAACAACTGATCCAGCATCCACTGCTGTTTGTGGCAGAGAGTTCCAAATATCTACCGTCCTTTATATGTTGAAGTGCTTCCTAACGTGTCTCCTGACCTGGTCTGCACCCTAGCTCTAGAATCCTCAATCAGGGAAATAGTTTATCTTTTATCTACCCCTATCTTTTCCTGGTAATGTCTTGAAGACTCCGATCAGATCACCCCTTAACCTTCTAAATTCTGGAGCAAACAGACCCAATTTTTATAATCACTCATCAGAATTTAACTCCTGAATCCCTCTTGTACTAACTGTAAGTATGATTACCATTGAATAAAGCTTAATATTGCATACAGTGGCCTTAGCAAGATATTATATTGGTTTGCTGTTACCACCTGACTTTTGTTTTCACATCTTGTGAGACAACCTAAAATTCCATTAACTTTTTTTTTAAAATGACTGTCCTTTGTCTTGCACCCCAAATCCTTCTGCTCTTGTAATGCGCTCAGTGTAATTTCTGTTATATTTACGTAATACATAACCTCATACATAATGACCATAGTTCTTTGCGGCTTTCTCCCTTATTTTTTTTCTGAGGGATTTTCTGCATCTCCTATTGTGGCATGATCTGCAAATTTCAATGTAGTCTATATCCAAATCATGATATTCACATTGAAATGAAGTGGCCCCAGCACTGAATCCAGAGGGACACTGCTAATCTGCTTTTTGAGAAACTTCCCCAAACTTGTACTCTTTTATTGCCATTTATTAAATTTGTAACTAGTTTTGTGTTCTCTAATCATCTCTAATTCTTTGTGTAGTAACTTGTCAATCTTTCCTAGAGTTCAAATACATCATATCTCCAATCCATCATGTCTATTATGACATCAAAGAATTCAGAGTTTCACCTACCACAGTTGTTTCTTCAGAATTCTGGTGGCTACTTTCATTTCCTGTCAATTTTCTTAGTCGTTGTATTGGTCGTTTGTCAAGTTTAAAATGTACGGGAGAGAGGGAGAAACATTATTTTTGTCTTTCCATTCTACACCTGCTACAGTGAATTTTTTGTGTGCTTTGAAGATTTTTTTGGAATGCCATTTTTGTGTGTAACCTGGGGAACTGTGCAGTATATTTTCAGTGTTCCTTCTATTTTGCAGAGTGGTTTTTTGCCAAACATATTCAAGGTGCTTTCCTATCGACCTATAGAATTCAGGGTGTTCTTTGCATACTACAATGCCCTAATGAACAAAGAAACAGGTAGGATAAATGAATTCATCTTACACTTTTTTTTTCTCTAAATTGAGATGTAGATACATGATTCACAGAACATGTATTTTTGTTTTGGTGGGTACTTAGTTTTGTGTATCTAGAGCTTCTGCAGCGACAAATATTTGCAATTTTATTTCACTTTCCAATCTTTACATTTTTAATTTTCAGCTCCTAATCCCAGATTTGAGATCAAGTGACTGGGCAAAGGGGTGGATGACTAAATATGGGACTGTGGAGGGGGAGGGTTATAATACTGGAATATTGAGCAAGAAATAGCTGAAATCCCACTCTGATGGGTTATGAAATAGAATTCAATAACTGTTAAATTGTGTACTGCTGTAACAAAAACTATTGTCAGGAGAGCAGCTAAACTGTTCTAAAATCCTAGAAACCATTACATTTTTTGAAGGAAGAAATGATTAAATATTTCATGTAAAAGCAAGATGGTGGGATTAATAGCTTTGAGTTTCTTTAGCAAAGAGTTTCTATGAACAGGGTTTCCTGTGTGGTTTTAAGCATGTAATCCGGTTATTATCAGGCAAATGAGCGCTAAGGGTGCTGTTCAAAAGAATTGAATTCCTCCCTGACTCTTTTTGTTTATTGGAGGAGGCCATTTCGTCCAAGTGTGTTCCGCCACCATTCAATAAGATAACTGCTAATCTGCAATATAACCCCCTATATCGGCCTAAGCACCCCATCAGCCTTTCTGCTCCTATGATGCTGCTTAGCCTGCTGTGTTCATCCAGCTCTGTACCTTGTTGTCTCCCATTGTGTAGTGTGTTTGGTTAACAAAGATATATCAATCTCAGATTTAAAATGAATATTTGATCTGGCCAATCTAGCATCAGTTGCCACTCGCAGAAGAAATCACTTCTTGTGAAGGAAGTGTTTCTTAACTTCAGTCCTGAAAGGTCTGGCTCTAATTTTAGACTATGTCCCGAGCTTTAGTGCCTCCAATCAGTGAGAACAATTTGTCTATCCGTTTCTTCCTCTTCATACCATGAAATCTTTAATCAACCTTAACCTAAATTTCAGGAAATGTGACTCTAATTCATGCTACTTGTAGTTTAACCCATTTGCTCAAGAACAAAATACGGTTAGACAATACTGAAAGAGGTTCAGGAAAGGGAACGGAGTTGCTTGCATTTCAAATTGACGAGGCATCTCATCTGATGCCTCATCCATAGATTCCGAGGGAAGTGAGTAGAAATCAGGAAGCATTGGCAATGATATCCAATCCGGTGTAGCCTAGGTGATACTGGAGGATTACAAATGTTACACCTTTTGTTTGAAAAAGGATATAACAATAAGCCCAACAATTAGAGGGGAGTTAATTGAATTTCACTGGTGGGGAAGCTTTTAAAAATGAACTGGGACAAAACTGATAGTCACTTGGGCCAATGTGGGTTAATTATGTTGGGGATACATATCGATTGATTATTGCTCAAAAAATGTCATTTTAAAGTTTTTTTCATTAGGAGATTTTGCAAGAGTATTGATTTCGAAGGTTAAAACAAACATTAATACTGCACTTATACTCCACAAAACATGAAGATTGATTTTCTCTTTGAATCAATATTCTTGTGAAATATCCTGATGGGTAAGATGAAAGGCTTCAACAAAGTGTTTGTTTTTTTTTAAGCAGTAGCCAAGTTCTATATGACCAAATATCAATTTATAATATTTATGGATAATGGGAGGAACTGGAAGATTTTGAACTTTTGGACTCTCTCTGGGTTATAAAGGGTTTTCACCAAGGATTTGAAGAGAGCCCATGTAATTTCTTGGAAATGAGGTCAGCAATTCAATGTGGGCTGTGGGCTGTGGTCTGCCTGCTGATTGTGGAAAGTTTAAATGACTTTGGTAAAATAATCAAGCAAAACTTCTAGGGAAATGATAGATGGGATTTATTGCCCTTAATTGCATGGCTTTGGAAGAGACTGTCGGAGCCTTCATGCGAATGGATGTCTCACAACCCTCTGTGGACTATGCTTTTTGTTTCACAAACCAAAGGGGCAAAGAAAGAGTAGTGCATTTGCAAGACTATTGAGACTGTCTCTCTTGGTTGAAGTACTTGAGAACTCGAGTTTTCATGTTATAGTATTTTAATTGTCTTGTAAACCATGAAAAAGCTCAAGTATGACCACTATCCAAAAACTCTGGATTCTAATTGAACTGAAACCTTGTTTGGAAGATCTTACATCAGTCAATGGCTGTCAGCAATTCAATTTTGTTAACTAGATTTCAAGCAGGAGTTGGATGCAGCACTTGTGGCTAATGGGATCAAAGAAAATGGTGGGGGTGAAAGCAAGAATGGCCTATTGAGTTGGACGATCGGCCGTGACCATAAATAGTGGAGCAGTCTCGGGGTTGAGTGGCTTACTCCTATTATCTATGTTTCTCAGATAACTATACCTATTGCTTGAAAATGTTCAATATTTTGACTTCAACCATTTTGCGGTAGAAAATCCCACAAGCTCACTACCTTCTGCAGAAATTTTCCAGCATCTCGGTCCTAAACGGCCTACCCTGCATTCTTAGACTGAGACCCCTGTTTCTGGCCTTCCTGGCCATCTCGAACACTTTTCCTGCATTTACCTTGTTTGGTCCTGTCAGAATTTTATGGGTTTTTGTGGTTGGTTCACTCGCTGAGCTGGTTCATTAGTTTGCATACGTTTCGTTATCCAGCAGGGTAATGAAATGTCTGTGAACTAACGAACCAGCTCGGTGAGCGAACTAACCACAGCATCCACAACCCGAGCTACAAATCTACTCAAGAATCTTTATTATTGGATTCCTCCTCATTCTTCTAAGCTCAAGTGAATGTGATCCTAATCAAACCGATGTCTCCTCTTATGTCAGTCCTGCCGTCCCAGGAATCAGTCTGGTAAACCTTTGTTACAAGCCCTCCCGTAACCAGAACATGCATCCTCAAGGAGAGCAAACTTCTCAATATTCCAGATGTGATCTCACCAAGGTCCTATACAATTGCAGTAAGACATCCCTGCTCCTGTACTTGAATTCTGTCCCTATGACGGCCAACATATTGTTTGCATTTTTCACTGCCTGCTGTATCTGCATACTTGCTTTCAGCATGTGGTGTACAAGAACACCCATGTTGCACCTCCTCCTTTTCTCAATCAACTGCTTTTCTTCTTTCTATGGTTTAACAATTTATTGTTGCAGCAAATTATCCTGAACACACTCGAGGAAGTTGCTTACTTTCTGATGCTAATTTGCATATCCTAATTTATACTGAAGTTACAAAGCCCTCATTAAGACCACCCTCCCTTTGCTAGATGCTTGTTAAATCTCTATTTACGCGAGCACTTGCTTCAGAGCTGCGATCAGGAGGTTTATATACAAGTCCCATAAAGACTTGTATTGTTTTTAAAATTTCTTAATTTTACCCATAACGTGTCTCCTGTCTTACATTTTGGTACTTGCTGCCATTTTAAATAAATCTAGCCTTGTCCTATGGACTTTATATGCTCGAATATTTAGTTTCTACTCCTGGTTGTCTTTCAATATGTATGAATACCTGCCATATCAAGCCTACTATTTAAGCTTTGCGACTTAAAACCAAGAAGTGGATAGTTTTGGAGCAAGCTGTAAAAGTGACTGTAATTCCTTTTTAACTTTAAATGTTTTAACTTTTCTCTTTCGGATCCCACCTGATGCCTCAAATGCTTTTCTAGGTAATCTCAGCAAAGCGGATAGAGAGCTGATTATTGTGGCCACAAGTGCTAATAATCACTGTCCCTACTGTGTTATTGCACATAGTGCCCTACATCGGATATATTCCAAAAATCCAATTCTAGCAGATCAGGTGAGTACTAATAAAATAATCAGTTTACACACAGCCAGACCTTTGAAATGGACTGTTTTGACAGTTAGTGACATCTCCTCTCTTCTGCCTTTTCTTTTAAGGTGGTTGTGAACAGGCACCTGGCTGACCTGGATGATCGGCAACATGCCATGTTGGATTTTGCTCTTGCTGTGAGCAATGCAGAAAACATCAGTGAAGATCACCTTAAAAAACTGGAGATGCATGGATTTGATTGTGAGGATGCTTGGGACATTGCCGCAATAACTGCGTTTTTCGCAATGTCCAACCGTCTAGCTCACCTTATTGATTTGCATCCGAATGAAGAATTTTATACACTGGGAAGATTGCCCAGGGAGAAGGATAAGAGTGAAGGTTAAGATTATCTGATGTCTAGTTCTGTTTCAGCCTGCTGTTTATTTTGAAAGTAGCTTACTTTTATTTAAGTTTGAAGTAAAAGCTCTGGAACCCAGAGCTAGTAGTTTACGAAATGCAAAATACAACTAGAATTCGAGATAAGTTAATGATTTCTATATAAAGTTGAAACTGAGAATTCTTGCACAGCTATTAAAGTCAGGAAATAACAAATGAAGTGAATTGAACATCTATCCAACTGTTACAAAATTGCATGCCGAATAATTTTGTACTATTTAATATTTTTATTCGTTTACAGGATGAGGGTGTTGCTGGCAAGGCCAGCATTTCTTGCCCAGAGGGCAGTTAATAGTTAACCACACTATTGTGGGTCTGGAGTCGCATGTAGGCCAGACAAGGTAAGGATGGTGGCTTACTTCCCTAAAGGACATTAGTGAACCAGATGATTTTTTTTCCAACAATCGATAATAGATTCATGGTCACCTTAGATTCTTAATTCCAGATTTTTATTCAATTCAAATTTCACCATCTGCTGTGGTGGGATTCAAACCTAAGTCTTCAGAACATTACTTGGATTTCTGGATTAACAGTCCAGCAATAATTCCATTAGGCCATCACTTCCCCATTATTTACAGATATGTATGTCTTGTGGGCAGATCTGGCACTCTTTTTCAGTCCCAGAATACTGTCACAGGTATAATTGAACTCTATTTGATTAGTTCTGTTAAAAATAAATCAACTATTTCAGTGTTTGTTTATACATTTATTGAGTTGAACATGGTTGTATGCCTGTTTGAAAATGGCACATTTTGGGTGTTTTCAGGATGTTGTGATAGGCATCAATTGATTTTAATTGGATCGAAGAATGTACAGTAATTCTATTTTAACTGCATTTTTGTGAAAAATGTTATTTCCTGGTTAATTGAAGAGAAAGGCAGTTGTGTCTGAACAGCAGTTTGAGTAGTTCTCTAGATTGGTATAAAAATGAGAATTTGAGTTCTAGGCACCTGCATAATAGGAAGGGGATTACAGCCATGGAACTGGTACAGTGAAAATTCACTAGAACGGTGATATGAGTTGTATTTATGAGGAAAGATTTGAAAGTTTAACACTTTTTTTTTCATAAACAGGAGGTCAGGGCATAAGCTAACAAATTCTTCATTCTTCGTAATTTTGGAAAGGTCAATAATACATTGGAGCTTTCAGTTATTAATGAACCAGTCAATAATGGTAAAAGCAAGGCTACCATAAAAGAGCAAATGAAAACGTCAAGATATTTTGCAACGGGTAACTTGAACAAAGAATACTTTGGCTATCAGGGCTGTGACTACGGCATTTAAATGGGAATTAAGAGGAGTGTGAAGAAAATAAGTTGAAAATACATAGCTCCAATTGATAACATGGGCTAACAACAGTTCCAGTTATTTTTATAATTGCACACTTCATTAAATTTAGTTTTGCAGGACTTGAATTTTAATGAATATTAATAAATGCAATCAAGAATATCTACAGGTTACAGGTCAAGTGAATTCTCATTTAAGATTAACATTTAACCAATTTAATTCTAGCTAGTATGGAATAAATTAATTGTGATCCACGAGATAGAAAACTCAACTGTCAGAAGCTGACCGTAACTAATTCAAATACTATTCCACCACCTTTTATCTTCTATCCTTTTTATAGGCTGAAAGGATTGAGTTAAGGGCTAAACTTTTTGTCATCATTGTAAGTTTTAGCAAAAACAATGAGAGCTATTGATGTACAAAGACTGGATAACAGACAAAAACATGCAAACTGTCAAGGCTGGTAATGTAGGAGCAATATTTTACCCATGTTAATTGTGGGAAAACAGTAGATAATGTAAGACATCTGGACAAAGATGTGGGAATTGAAATATGTAACGTTTGTATTAAGCTTGGAGGTATCTGTAACTTTGCAGAGTTGGTTTTATACTGTATGATGATGACCAGCTTTCCTTGTATACACATGAAAATAAATGATGATTGACCTGTGTACTGAGTTTCTTGTTCATGTGTTGAGTTGTGCTCCAATAGAATCCTGATCAGCAGGAACACATGCACGCACACTTTGGACAGAATACCTGTGCTGGATGGATATGTTCACGATTCAAAGAATCTGAAGCCGTCTCAGGATGGGAGATGCCGGGTAGTGAGACAGATATGAAATACCTAATGGAATTTCGCAAGTTACTTTCAGAAATCTGGATGCTTAAGTATAAAGACTGAATGGGCAAGATATATAATTGCTTGAAATCAAATAATATTTCATTTTAAGAATGCTTTGTTGGATAATAATGGATACGTCAGAACAAATAAGAAATTTGTTCTCAGAACTTGGATTATTTTGTTAGGCTGTAATTGAATATCAATTCTGGAATTTGTACAGGAAAGTGAAAGGAAAATGCAGATGTGACTGATTATAGAAAGGTTAAGGCTTTGACTGGAACAATTAATTTTGGGAACTATAAAGGAAATAGTAAGAATATCCACCAGTTGGATGCAGTTTTTAAGAAAAGAGAACTGGGATTTTGTTTCAGTTAATTTGATTTGGTAGTTCAAGTATTTATGCCTAAATTCCAGTAAATAAGAATCAGCAGTAATTTTCATAAAGTTAGAGTAGGGTGATCTATAGAAGTGGGCAGTACCATCGTGGACAAGACAGTGACCATACATATCTTCTGCATGTGTGTCTACTGACCAGCTCTATAGCTGTCGTCTTCATTGCTCTGAAATGTAGACTCAGGTCCTGGGGATTTATCAACTTTCAGCCTGTTAATTTCCACTCTGGAGTTGGTTAGTTCGCCGAGCTGACTGGTTTTCATGCAAGCGTTTTCACCTCTCTTCTAGGTGACATCATCAGTGCTGTGTACCCTCTGTTGAAGCGTGTTGTTCTGTCCCGATCTAAATTTATATTTTCTGGTCTGTCATGGTGGGCAGTCTTGTTTCCAGTTTTGTACTGTCGTGGTATGTGGATGATGTCTATTTCAACATGTTTGTTAATGTGTCAGTGGTTGAAAACCAGGCCTCCAGGAATTCTCATGCTTGTCTTTGTCTTGCTTGTCTTAGTACTGGAACTTTGTACTACTGTAATGGCTGCAGGATGCTCATAACCCCTGCTACAAATATGAACGAAAAATCTCACGTCAAAAATCTCTATACCTGAGCTCGACCAACCAACAATGGACATCAACTCTTGAACAGGCTCTTTAGGGTCAAGCAAAACAGGACCAGAACCAAGAAGTGACTCTAACTACAAGAAAAACTGACAAAACTGATGCATAGCAATGACAAGAACAAACCAGACACATGGATAAGAAATTTATCAGACAGACACCTTACACATACCAGGAAAGCTATCCTAATATAGGACATCCTAAACTATAATTATAAGGACACCAACAAAACAGATTTCCTGGCTACGTTCGAGGCCACACTGAAATCTATTGGACTCGAAATCTAATGAAACACAACAAGCCATAGTCCCTACACTGAACAGGAGAAGCCAGGCAAACATACTCAACACATCAGAAAGAAAAGCTCTCAAAGGACTAAAGAAGGACAGGAACAACATATTCTTACTGGCAGACAAAGGCTGCTTGACAGCTATAATGAAGAAATCGGACTACATTGATAAGGCGCACAAACTAATTACAGGTACCAACACTTACTAACCGAGGGAGTCCAACACCACACCACAGCTAGGGAGCAGAATCACCTACACACACTGATGAAATTACAACTGGCAGGACAAATAACAAGAACAAACTTCCTAAAAATGAAACCTGATGGATCAAACACCCCCTGACTCTACGGACTACCCAAAGTACACAAACCTGAAATTCCCTTCAGACCTGTAGTTTGCCTGCCAGACACAACAACTTGCAGGCTAACCGAGGAATTACAACAGAGACTAAAACACCTCACTAATTGATCAACCCACTCCATACATTCAGCACTAGAATTCCTGGACAACATCAGGAACATAAAAATCGACAAGGAAGAAATGATTGTATTCTTTGACGTTACAGCACTGGTCATCTTTTGATGTGACACTAGCAAAGGAGACACCGGTCACGTTACTGGACAATCCAAAAACACAAACCCGTGAAACCATCAGTAAGGACAACGTACTAAAGTTACTGGACCTATACTTTGCCCCCCACTTCGTCTTCGGCCAGGTCTACGAACAAATTTAGTGGAATGCCCTTGGGTTTACCCATCTCGGGGCTCACAGCGGAAGCTGTTGTGGAAAAACTGGAATGCACAGCCCTCCCCCAGATCCAGCCTAAACTATGGACGGTACCTTCGTGATCATTAAACGAGCAAAGTTAGAAGAAACACACCACGTTATTAACAGCATGTTCACCGAGATCAAGTTCACCAGGGAAGCGCAACAATAAAACTCCCATTTCTAGACATAATGGTGAAACAAACAAACAACGGTGAATTCCTTACCAGCATATACAAAGACTACACACACAGACCAAATCCTGAATTACAACAGTGACCACCCAATCCACAAACGGAGCTGTCAAGACTCTGTTTAAACATGTAATAACTCACTGCAACATCCAGAGCTGTGCAAAAACGAAGAGGAACCTATACAGAGTCTTTGCAAACCAGGGTTATCCTAACAGCTTCATCGCCGATGTCTGGCAAACTAACAACCCCAGGAAGACACTGTATGTCCCCAACAGACAAGGTAGGATTGCCAATGTTAGAAACACATCTGCACTGACTACAAGACTCCTATGACCTCTTTAAGTAAGGATAGCACACAAACCAACAGCCACACTTTGCCAGCTACTCTCCAAAGACAAGAGACTCCATACCCCAATGAGCAGGACAAATGTGATATAAAATACCATGCAGCAGCTGCGAGAAACACTATGGGACAGACAGGCAGAAAACTCGCCTTCAAGATATGTGAACACCAACTCGCAGCAAAACAGCATGACCAACTCTTCCCTCGTTTCAATACACTGACATAGAAGGACATCAATTTAACTGGCAAAAAGTTACAGTACTGGGACAAATAAGACAAAGACAAGCGTGAGAATTCCTAGAGGCCTGGTTTTCAACCACCGATGCATTAACAAACAAGTTGAAATAGACCCCATCTACATATCGCTACGGTACAAAACTGGAAACAAGACTGCCCACCATGACAGACCAGACAATATAAATTTAGAGTGGGACAGAACAACGCGCTTCAATGGAGGCTACACAGCACTGATGTCACCTAGAAGGGAGATGAAACGTTTGCATGAAAACCAGTCAGCTCGGCGAACCAACCAACAACTCCAACCCCAACTCAAGCTACAGATCTTCATTAAAGCGTTCATTTCTACACTCCTACAAATTTCCTTTATCTCCTC